GTAAATTATGTCACATGATCATGCCAGAAATTCATGTGCCCAAATGTTTTAGCAATTCACAACACTTATCTTCATACTAAACTTTCAATAGAAAAGAGACCAAAAAAAGCTTGTTAGGATTGGACGGTGGTAATGAGCGATTTGGAATTAAAACACACCCCAAAGGCCTCGCTCTGTCCCCAGTGTTTAGAGTATGTCTCCACTAACATGGTTACTGGAGATGTAGACATTTGGACGGTCAGTAGGATTGGGGTGGACAGGCTGAGCAGGGACTGTGGCTGCGAGGGCATCCATTGTTGGCTGTCTGTGCAACTGGGGATGCAGCACTTGGTGAACATGCAGCGCTGCTTTGAAGATCTGCTCTGACAGTTGAAAGACCTTCTCTTCAACTCAGAGTTTGAGTCTCATTACTGGGATCCAACAAGCAATGTCATTATTCACCATAAGGCCAAATAATGAATAGGCTGACTAGCTTTGGAATAAATTACCAGAAATAACGTGAGGCATTTGTGTGTGTTTTGTATTCAGAAGAAACACGGCACAAAACACAGTATAGATTTTATGAAACAACACTTTTTCAAAGTGTTGCCAGGTCAACTTTTCCCATGCTTGCTTTTCTCCACTGTCAGGGATGAGAGACTTCTTGACCAGCAGGAAATAGTAGCAAGAATACCACAAGTCTGTATAGCTCCTTTTTCTTCAATCAGCACTAGAGTCACGACGGTGTGCTTTCCCTAATCCTCTCTTTACTGTGTGGCAGTGCCAACCACCTACACCACCACCTGTGTCTGTCTAGCCCCTGAAGTTTGCCGACGGCGCCACCCTGATTACTCTCATTCCTGTTGATGAGTCATACCAGAGAGAGCTTCTGTTATAAGAGAGCCCAGTTTCCCACTCACTATTCCGTAGAGGAAACCTGCATAACGGTTCCACACAAGTACACTATGCCTTTTTTTGTGAGGCAGAGTTGATGCGCTTTACATGTAACTGTCCTCGCTTTAGTTTTAACTGGGCGCTGGCTGCTGATTCAACCGGTGGTAATGTCCTCTGATGGGTAGAAACAACATCTACTTCAGCATATTTTCGTCAAGCTGAGAGGGCATAACGTTGCTAAAAGAGCTATAAAAGTCCATCCTCAGAGGCCCGTGAAGATGTTTTGCTTAACTGCAATTCACACAGCCACAAACAGGCATGCACACATGCAAGCATGCAGCCAGAAACACACACACACACACACACACATTTCCGTTTTGACTCGGACTCATTTTCACCGCCGTGACACCTGAATGCTTTAGCCTCGGTGTGAATGGGCTGTTTGACATTATGCTTGATAGTGGTACCTCTTGCTTCTCTCATATATGATGAATGTGTCTGTCACGACAGTCTATGGTTCGTGGCAGCGCAATCTCTCGCCACACCCTATTGCATATGGCATTTTTCTGACAGGAAAATCAGCCAATCCTGACGCTTCAATGAGCAGCCTCCCTAATCTTATCCTCGTGCTGTAATTCCAGGTTGCAGAATGAACTCTGGGTAATCCCTCACAGGGAGCGTCGTTCCACTTGTTGTCACTTTCCCCGACCATCTCTCTCTTTTTCCTTGCTCTCTCGCTCTTTCTCTTTATTTTGCACTCACATAAACTCTCTCTCTCTCTCTCTCTCTCTCTCTGACTGTCTGTCTGTCTTTTCTGTCTCTCAGTTGCTGTCTATTTCTCTTGTTCTCTCCGCCTTATGTTCTGGCTCCCTAGCTGGCTGCTCCTCATACTTCCTCATTGATTTTCTTTCCGTTTGCCAGCCTCACCGCACCTCCTCAGTAAGTGATTGACATTCCCCTGCATCTTTCTCTTTCTCTCTGTCTTTTCCTTTTGCTCCTCTCCTATTACCCTATCTCTTATTATGCCTTATTCTTCCTCCTGCCTCCCTGTTTCACATTAAAATAAATAGTGCACACTGCTCGTCAACCATCTGAACTTTGTCTGAATTTGTTTCCTAGATTCAGTGGTTGTAGACTACTGCACAGTAGTTTTTTGCTGTAATTGCAGTGTAAATACCAAATTAATGACACTGCAAATGAGAAACATCAAGTTACAGCCTTTAATATTGTTCACAAAGAGAGTCTTGTATATGGCACTATGCAGCGTCGTCTCTCTATAATTAAAGCTTATGAGTCTAATAGATTCTTGGGTTGTGCTGCGGTTAATAATGCGGTTTTATGTAATGTTTTAATGGTGTTGCTTCACCAGATTTAATGCAATGGTTAGGAGTCCCTTCACTTTAGAGTCTGCCCAACCTACATAATTATTATAAAATGTGCTTCGATGCATATGACATATAAGATTACTGATGTTCTTTCGTGGCCGTCAGATTAATGGCAACTTTGTTGCGCTCTGATTAATATTTCATTCGTTGTATATTGGTGTATCTCCAACTTTTAGAAACTCTGTTGTCATCTTTTCAGCCTATTTATGCTATGTAATGAGTAGCCTCTCATTTTTATTGCACAAACCAATAATAAAAAAAGTAATGTATTGCATGAAGTCTTGCAAAGAATAACTACAGCATTAAAGGTTTTCAGTCTGTTTTGATAAATATCACAGTGTGTTTGCTCCCGAGCGTGCTTTCCTGATGTATACATCTTCCTTACTGTTAGTCAAAGTGAATCGCATACAGCTCTATTTTCTCCCCCTCCCAGCTCAAAAAGAATTGACGGCAGGGGCATCAAAGGGCCAGTTCCTCCCCCGCCAGCATCTGCTTCTTCTCTCCTTCCTGCTCACAGCTCCCTCATCTCCCCTCTCTCTCTCCACCTCCTGTTCCTGGGCAAGAGTCACAATGCCACCCCATCCCATTACCCTCTCAGTCATCCCCATGCTCAGACCACTGGTGACGCCTGCTGAGCCCGACCAAGTCACAGACTCATCTCCCACCACCTCCACAGGCTCTGACAACTGATTGTGTACTCTGATTGCTGAACACCATATTTCAGGTCCCGTCTTGGTCGTGCCGCAGTATGTTCACATGTTCTCCATCTCTGTTCCTTGAGGACGTCATCAGCAGAGTGTGGAGGGTGTTGTGCAGGGGGGTTGGGTAGATAAACAGATATCTATTTGTGTGAGCAAGGTGCCGTTTCTCCCAACAGGTACACCAAAGGAAATGGAAGGCAAGATCTTTTTGATCATACTCTCAAAGGAAATCTTTGATTCCAGGAGCTCTCTCTTCCTTTTGGTTTTTATATCACACATCAGAATTCATCATCAGTGTTAGCAGAGTGGTTAAACGGCTTTCAAACGCAGGCTCTGATCAACATGAATGGGTTGTAACTGCTTGAGATTTTTTGACAATTTAGCCTTGAAACAAACTATGACCAAGATTGGGGAGCTTTGTTTACTGACGTTTTTCTTTTTCATATCAGACTTCAATTGCTGACCTGCTAACAGTTCATTCTTTCTGGTCTCCAACCAACAGGAATATTCCCAAAGGTGTTCTAGCATGTAATCAGAGAACTCCTTCCAGTGACATGGATTGAATCACACCAACAATGTATTAAGGCTAAATTATATGTTGTATTCTCTCATTTATTCCTCCTATATAATATTCATAATGGAGGGAGGTTGATTATTATGATAAGGGATATTACTTCTACAGTCTCCAAGACCGGGGTAGCAATGTTTACATAATGAGGTAGATTACACAGTTTGAATGTAAATGACCAAAAACAGAGTGTTTTAAATTGTCATTTTGTTTCTCAGTGAGCCTAACAGGTCGTTATAGTTTGGCATATTTAATGAACACAAAGACACACTAGCAGGAACACAGTAGGCAGGATGAGCTCACATTCTTAAAATCCTCCTCATATATTAAATCTAAACAGAAGATAAGTTACACAAACTAATAAAAAGTCAGATTTTGCATATTATCTCGATCTTGATTTATCTCAAGGTTATCTTCAGTGCAAGCAACTGCTGTTTGTTATTGACATTGAAATTGCGTGTTTCTGCACCAGCTGCATAAATGAAATGATAGCTCGTGAAGCCACTGTGATAAGTAAAGCAAAATTGTTTTGTTGCTGATAGCTCTGCCCGTGTTGTGCCACCAGTGTCACATAACGCTGACCATGTAATCATCAGCAACAATGTATCGCAATTTTGAATGTGAATAATACAGATCTCATACAGCACAACAGCACAGTTGAATTGGTTGTCACTGGAAAAGTCAAAGCTCTGTTGTCGTGTCAAAACTAAGAAAAACACTGATTTTATGAAGCTCCAGGGTTGCAGAGTTTTCCCAACCGTTAGAGGAGCCGTGTAACTCCATCAAGGTCAGAGCGTACCAAGAGCCAAGTTTTTCTTTTGTTTCCTGTCATTAAGGTAAGATGGATGCAAGAAAGAGTAATGTGCACCTGAAAGTAGCAGGAAGCAAAGTAGATGCTCATGTCTGCAGAGACGTCATGGTGTGAACTATTGACAAACTTTGGTCGAGCAAATAGATTAATGAAACAGGAGATGGCAGAGACAGATTGAAAGGGGATGGGAGGAAAGACACCATGTGAGGTGGAGGTGTGAATCCCCACTCGAGCTGTAATGAAAATGAGAATGTGGCTCTGCGCCACAGGATTTGCCGGTAATTGGTTTAATGAATGCATTCTGTTGCCTCTGATTGAACACGTGCCCTGTGTTTGCTCCTCAAGGAACCACACGCATGTCTCTGTTTCCTCCTGCAGCCTCGCTTACTCTCGCTATCACCTTGTCTCACAACATGGTAATCTGTCCACTGCTTTCTTTCTGTCTTACACTGTTCATTGTGATGGTCATACTGATTGTCCAGAGAATAGGGGGACAATTAAGTACAGATTGTTTCTTTTGGCCTTTTGCAGCTGATGGACTTAGTGACTGATCTCTCTGTGTGTGTGTGTGTGTGTGTGTGTGTGTGTGTGTGTGTGTGTGTGTGTGTGTGTGCGGGCTTGTGTGTGTTCATGCGTGCGTGTGTGTGTGCGCTCTCTTGCAGATTGGCCTGTGGCACTCTGAAGATGGACTGTCCATGGAGAGAAAGCTTCCATCAATCAATGTGACGGACACCCTCTTCAACACTACTCTAACCATCACAACAATACTAGTAAGTGCTACTGTTTGCATGCTGATACTGTACGTGCACATCAGCAGCTGTCCGTGTCATTTTATTAGCACAACGCCTCGGCTGATCTACATGGGGCTGACATTCTGTGGTTGACGGACAATTACCATATCAAAAACCCATTTTGTATTTTCAGATCCAAACTCAGTCCTCATGGGATCAGAGGAAGTGCTGCCGCGCTTTTTGTTTTGCCCTGAGTACTTCAGATGAGGCTACATCACAATGCATCAGCAGGCACTAATAATTCCACTTGTCAGCCATTCTCAGCCTCTGTTGTAAATATAGATCCTGTGCGTCCTCTGCTACCTGTTCCAAGAAATGCAATTTTTAAGAAATTTGCTGAATCACCTGCCATGTTAATGCTCACTAAACTACGAATCCTTTAAAGCTTCTGAAATACAAAATGCATGCTTTTCCTCAAAGAAGGCTGACAAACACGATAAACATGAGCAAATTACAGAAATAGGAAACAATACAGTCACTCAAAATTGCTGCTGCTGCTCTGCCTGTCGTTATTTAACAATACAAACCAGTAAGCTTAATAACAATTTATACGTTTTATTGGAGAATAAATTAGATGACGCTTAACACCCAGGGAACCTATAACATCTCATTCTTGTATTAATGAAAAGGTTTATAGAGCTTCAATATGCCTCAATCAAAACTAGTTTGTACGGCGTTTTAACCTACCTCGTCTTAAAGCAAATATGTTTATAGCTGCTCTGAATTTAGTTATTAGCATATCAACATGGTCAGTTGTGAGTCATAAGATGTTCACTGTAATTCCTTCTGGATAAAAGTGTTTTGCAATAGATAATAATATTACAAAAGAGGAATGGTGAACTTCAACTCTCTAATACATTTCAAACTAATATTTAAGCAAAGCACAAACGTCGCTGCAACTTTGCACAGTTATACTCGTCGAATGTAGACTGCTAGTATAAGGCTGCCATTGGACGCCTATTTCAGCTGGTGTTCTCCTTCCCTTCATTCCCTTGCTATCTGCTTTGCAAGGGCACCGTTGCTGCATCCTGTGCTTAGCTCCGCCCAAGACGATTGTGATTGGTTTAAAGAAATACAAACAAGCCAGATCGTTTTCCCCCCCATGTCAGAATTATAATGTGTGGAGCCAGACCTTTCTCCAGCGCTGACACGCTTCCAACGCTGTGGAAGTAGTAAAATATTCTTGACTGATCTAATTATTAACAGTGATTAATTGCTCGTCAATTAATTAGCTACCTGTTTTAATTAGTAAAGCAGATGTGTCAGGAATTTCCCAAACTAGTGAGAAGACTATAATGCTGTTTAAAAGCTTGACTTTTCTGTTTTACAGTAGCTTTGATATCACATCAAAGGTGATAAATGGATTCATGTTGGAACTACATGAAACCATTCAGCTTCTCAGTCGGCTGCATGTGTTTCATGCCTCTCTTCTTCCCTCGATACACACGAACACACAGAAACACACAAAGCTGTCACTCGCCCAGCTCCTCCTCCTCGCTGATGAATCAGACGATAAGATACAAAGTAGCTTGTAAGCAGAGGCAATTGGCCCAATGTGTTTTTCTGAGTGGCTGGCTTATCAGCTGAGGAGCCGTGGGAATGAGGGAAGGACATATTGCCACATTTCGCCACTGAACAACTCACTGGCCTCATTGAGACTTATTGGGATTCAGATGGAACGGTTCATTTCACACTGGAGGGAAAGGGAGCTGGGGGGGGGGATGGAGATTTGTGTGTGTTTGGTTTGAGGGGGAGTATAAATGAGACAATATTTTCACAACAGAAAGAGGGTGTGACAGAAAGAATTGGCCGAGCACATAGCTTTGATTTCACTTTGGAGATATAGAGTCCCAGGACCAAACTTCGGAAGCCACCACGGAGCAATTTTCAGCGCCTATCACAGCTCATTCATCATGGTGTGATTGCCATGTCGCTGTTATCTCGCTTGTGGGCGGGAGACGAGCCACAGCTGAAAGCCTCCATAAGAATTCCTTACCTGTAGCAGTGGCCTGGGAGACTGTGTGTGTTTGTGTGTGATTGCAATTGCATTAATGTGTGTGTGCGTGCGTGCGTGTGTGTGTGTGTGTTCAGTATATCTATTTGTGGGTTTATGTGCACACTTGACATGTGCACATGGCCTTCACCAGGCAGTTACATTACACCTACACAGGGCTGTCATCTTCCCCCTTCAATTTCACTAACAGCTCGGGGGGGTGGGGGGGGGGGGGGGGATTGAATTGATTATCACGTTACTGCAAGGCCAAAAGCCATGTGTTTTTGTAAGCATTGATTGAGTTTGTTCCCTCGTGCAAAAACATTTTGGTATTCTTATCATTACTTTCTCTCACTCTTTTTAGTTCGGTGGGCCACATCAGGTTCAGCAAACGCTCCTTACTTCAGATAACTGTGTGAAAGACCAGCGTAAACATAATGAGTACCACTTGTGCATTTACAAGTCATGAGAATTGTAAATATCCATAATAAACGCCCCAATAATACCATATAAGGCTATGCGTCCTACCCAATATGTCCTATAGTGAAGTCCTGTTTTTAGAGATCCTTAAAGGCCGTTAAAGCTGTTACATATGATGGACTTTCTATCATTTTCACAGCATCAGCAGCAGAATTAAGCGACCTGTTAAAGCCTAGGAATGGGGGGGGGGAAATGATTTTAATGCCATGTCATCTCAGGGTCGTATTCTCACTGAAATATAGGAGAAATGGTTTGATATGCAAAACGTCTCGCCACAGCAAGGCCATCAATGACTGCAACGGGGGGCTCACATAATTGAAGATGTTCATATTTTATTATATCAATTGCCAATTTAAATGAATGATGACATCGTTAGGCTATATCAATACTTTCAGAATTTTATTAACCAATAAATCAAATCTCAGGACAATGCCAACATAATTATAAAGTATAATTTATATAGGGTTTTAAAACTTGAAATTGCTTCAAAGTAATGAACTATACAACACACTAGTGAAAAATGTAGGTTTGGATAACAGCAGACTAACTGCAATGACTCCTACGACAGTTCTGGACCGCTTGTAAACTGTGTTTGTACTTAACAGAAAATTAATAAATACGAGAATATTGGTGAGTGCAGCAAGTTCTCCTAAAGAACAGATCTGTTTGTACAAGTGGTTCTTGCATGAGGGAGGCCCAATGTCTTTGTACCCTCAGTAGCCACAGCGAGGTAATAGAAAAACAGTCTTTGCGGTTGTTGCATTGTGTTTTCTGTATTCTGATACACAATAGCTTGTCAAGCAGTAGAAAGAGTGATTTGTTTGCATTCCTATAGTTTTAGTCGATTCTGATTTCAGGTGATTTGCATTGTTATGATGTAATCTCCTGGATTTTAAGAGCTACAAATTATCAGCCCTGTTCACACATGGCATTGACATGCATCTTGGGTGATCTGATCACAAGTGGAAAGCTCTTAGAACTTGTACGAGTAAGCGGAAGTATGTACCTATCTGCGTGCCAATGGTGTGATATTAAAGTGAGATAACAGGCAACAAATTTCCAAAAAGCCCATAGATGTATATTAAATATAATTTATGGGGTTTGGTTGGCCCGGAACACGCCAAGGAAGAGACCCAGACTGTATTGTTTTGATTTTGACTCCTTCTTTTAAATTCCAGCAGACTGCCTCCAGCTGGTTAAAAACAACAACGCATTTGATTTTTGCGAACGGAAATCATTTAAACGTTTATCTGCAAATAGAGCGGGAAAGTGAGATCTGATCACAAGTTCTCAAGATGCATGAGGAGATGCATTTTAAGGACAGGTGTGAACTGAAGTTGTTAGAGCTGTTCCTTTGTGGTCGTATCACCCAAGACAAATGGGTATGGGTATAAACAAGGCCATATTTTCAAGTGGAGCTAGTGGATCTTGGATGATAATGATGATGATGATGATGAGGGATATACTGTGTTAAGACCCATTTATGATCCAATTTATGATTCCAAGGTTAAATGGAGTCAGGGAGCATCAATAAGAATTACTCAACTTGCAAGCAAATATAATAGCGTCCAAGCACCCGATGCAACTCAAACGGGATGTGTGTGAACTCCTTGCAACAGCTGACCAACAACACTTCTCAATAAAAAGACACATTCAAATTTTTAAATCAACATTAATGTTTCAAAAAAAATAATACTCATCTCATCTGAGCATAAATCCACCAAGTCCAAACACACACACACACACACACACACACACACACACATACACACAGCCCAAGTCACATTGGTGAACAGATATTTTTCACTGGCTACATGCAAATACATGCGGTTATTACACAACCACCAAATAATTAATAAATGGGTCTTAACACAGTATATCCCTCATTTAATTATCCTCATAAACTCATGCTCAGTGCTCTCAGAATTTGGCACTCTTTGTTATTCCTCATTTCTGAAATAAATCACATGGAGCAGAGCTTTACGTGAAGGACTATTTGGTGCCAGCTTTCTGTCATTGTTAGGGAATCATACCGTCTACATATTTAAATCCCAATTCAAGACCCAGTTTCCTTGTTAATACCTGAAACCTGCTTTGAGTGCCTTCGGTAGGAGCCACTTTCTGCCTTTGTCAACTACAATTCTTCTTGTCATTCCTCAGTTTTCCTGCACACTACCCTTGTGTTACTGAGTGCTGTCATTTCCACTCACATACACATTGGTAAGGATTCAACAGTGCACATAAAGCCGACTGATAAAAGCAGACACAGAGGCAGATTTGCAGGCACAAATGCTCGGCAGCACTATGTGCATGTGCACCTGAATCTGCCCCCACAGACACAAGATCTGTCCCCATTTCTTGAAGTCTGTGTGAACTTGTTCTCTCTCTGGTTTCACCTCATTTGTATTGAAATTGCTTCATAAAAAAATGTAAATGACCTGGCTCTTTTTCTAATGACCTAGTATTTTTCAGAGTATTGTCGGAGCCTCTGTGGCTCTTCTTCAAACAGAACTACCAAACCCTGTGAGAGAATTATATCTCAGCTGCCAGTTTGCTGGGCTCCGGAGAGCAAGTTTTTAAGGATAAGAAAACAGTTGAGGAAAGCGAGGAGGGTTGTGTGAAGACATCTTGAACACCCTGAGGTTTTAAAAGGGGAAACTCCACTGTGGTGTCTGAAGTTGAATGTGAACAACACCCACCGGTGCACCTGGCGCGCTGCGTCTGTATGTGTGCGCGTACATGTACTTTCTTGTGCATATGCAAGAGAGTGTGCTTCTTCCTCCTAAGTTATCAGTCCACAACCAGACTCCTCATGGCCTGGGAATAAGAGCTGCTTTACAAGTCTGCATTTCTTTAAAGCTTCAAACGTATAGCTTTATTGCAGTTTTGCTGTGGTGTGCAAAATAAGGTAGATGGGATATCCTTGTGATTTTGCCGTCATGGAACACAGCACTTTCATACCCCTGTATAGACTTTTCATACCTTTATATAGTTATTTTTATATGATTTTGTTCTCAACTTCACAGAAGGCTTCTAGTGGAAGTGGTTCCTAGTCATTTTTCTTTCAATGTTTGGTGGAAGTTTTTGGATGAGTGTAAACTGCAGGAAATATATCAGCTTTCAATAGCAGTTGTGTTTCCATGTCTGCAACGCAGCACAGATCTAATTAACAGGCAAATTTGACCGCCCGTTTTTTTTTTTTAACAGAATTGCAATGCCAGAAAACAGCTTTGGACCATGTATTCTTTCTCGTCAGCTAATGTCAGTCCCACACACTGTCACAGGAAATAAATCGGGACACATTTGGAATGTTTACGTTTACAACTGTGAAATGGTCTATAGGGCAACGGGAGCTCAGCGAAAGAGAGACAAATTGAAACCAAAGAAAGTGACAAAGAAAACAACGAAAGAGTCCCTGTGGTATTGATCTCTGTTGGGTTTTTACTGGCGTGATTGATGGATGTGTGCTAGGTCTGCTTTTATTAGTCTGTACTTAACCAGATCAACACAGAGGGATTGAGGGAAGACAATATACAAAGGCAGTAGTTTCTAGCCTTAGTCCAAGAGATTGAGCTTCCTTATGACGGCAGCCATTTGTTAAAAATATAAAATCCTTTTCCCATTCACGCACATATCAACAAGAAGCTGGAGAGTGAATTATGTTTTTTGCTGAATTAAATCTTGTAGTAGGACACAAACACATTCATCCAGGCACCCTACTGTCTCTCTCTTCAGTTAGTGTGAAGAGCTGTTAAGTGACTGCAGCAGGTTTGCGTTTTTCTTCATCTCTTCCCTGTCCCTCTGTCCGGCTCGCGTTATGTACAAAGCATCTATAAAAAGCTAACCTCTGCAACATTTTTGCAGAAATTGGAAGGAGTGAAAGCATCTGACTTGGTCTGGCTTGACTGCAAGTCGGCGCTGGAAAAGCTTCAGCAGTCTGTGAGCTATGAAATTAGCATTTATATTGTGCCCCATGTATGCTGAAACATGATGCATAGACATCACGTAAGGCCAGTGAGGTGCGTGGCTGTTTTAAGGAGTCACTGAACAGACAAAGAAATGTACTTTTATAATTTGTACTTTCAGGCTAATTATATGATCTACTTTTATTATTGTAAATAAATCCCATAAATGGACTAAAACCCACAATGCTTTAAGTCGTCAACAGCCTGTCCACAGTCTCCTCCTGACCTCAACCAAAGCACTGTTTCCTAAACCTAACCACACGATTGTCATAGTCTTTCATTTTGTTCACTCTTCATCCCACCCGACTACCTCCCTCTGACTTGTGTGGCATACACAAATGTAGCACTTCCTCCACTCAAACAATGTTGCTTGATCCAAAATTACTTTTACAAGCAAAATGCAATTAGGAAAACTAATAATATTGTATAAATATAATTTCTAGGAGGCAGGTTTGGGAATTGGTGAGTATTTACGGCACTTTAAAAGTAAACTACAGTGCCTCTGTTTATTGTTATGTGGAAACATGTCACAGGTTATTGTTGCTATACAGTCTGTTTAATCGAACTATGAGCCTGGCTAGATAAATTGAATCCATATGCAGATTCCAGTTGCAGAGATACGTAGACATAGTCGATCAGTAGTCATTTTATTCTCAGTCTTATCACAGCAGAGCAGGCGGCTGTGGTTTCTACTGTCCAGTGATGCAGCGAGCGAGGCAAAGCCGCACAATCCTGTGTCAAAGTGATCTGAACTACCCCCCCCCCCCAACCTCTGTACGCAGCCACGGGTGGAACAAAGTGGTTGCTATGACAACAGGGCAAGTCGTCACAGTAACAGTTGTGCCACCTGATGTGCACCAAGTTCTCAAATGTTGCTGATTTTCAGTGGCGCTACGATTTCGTGGCTTTCACTGTGAGGCAAATCAATTGCCAGTCAACCAGCTACCAACACAAATAAGTGTATCCAGCTGTGGAGATGACAAAACAATTTCACTTCTATTCCAGTCCTGAAAATACACAACACTGCTTATGCTTCACCCTCCTGGAAGCTGTCACGGGGACTTTGAATGGATTTTCACACATGCCTGTGGTGAATTACACACACCCCGCTGTACGTAATTCGTAGTCGACAATCTCTCGAACAAGCTCGTGGTTAAACAAAGATTTGTGAGCTAGTATATATCTTGCATAAGCACATAGACGTGTTGTTATAACACTCGGTAAAGCTTCTATCAGCTACAATAATAAAAAAAAAGTTTCCTTTGTCTTTGTTTATTTTAAAACTGTGTCAGCCCATGAAAATGCTTGGACTTGTTAATCACTGTTATCTGATGTCATGTCGCCAAAGTAAGGATTCACTGATTCGCTGGATTCACGAGTTGAGTGCCCGGGATAGAACAACAGCAAAGTAGTACATAACGCTGTCTGTTTTATGATGTAGTGGAGCCCAAGCACACCAGTTTGACAGTTGCATTATTTGAAAAGCAGCGCAATAAGGGGGGGGGCTCCAAAATACATCACTGCTGGGCTCTTTAAATCTCCCTACAACATCAACTAAATGAAAAAACGAGACATAAATAAACAGACAGCCGAACAGAGAGTTTGTTCTCTAAAAGACAGGTTGTAAATAAGTGTGTGTTTGGGTGTGTGAGTATGTGTGCGGTGAGAGGAAAACTGCTTTTGTTTCTTATCCACTTTTTGCCAGATATAACAGATTGGCATGCATCTGACTGTTCCTGATTTTAGTGTCTGGCTCTGCTTCAAATCCACAAATCTTTCATTGAAGGCAGTAAACCTGATGTGAACAATGACCTCCAAAGGACATATGGGATGCTTATATCATTTTTCCTGAGAGTAAAATATTTAGTTAGATAGATTCTGTAAAGCAACCATTACACATTAAAGAGGTGCTTAAGCTATTTAGTAGTACTTACAGAACATTGTGGATCATTTTTAGAAAGAATTGTCAAAATCGAAGTAACACTAAGATATTCTAACATTTCCCACAATGCAACTCAGTAGTCCATTTATTTTATATTTGCACAAGCTGAACTCTCAGACAAGTAAACTGAATAGTGCAATCCAGTATGAATTGTGTTTGCTGTGACTGTACAATATGACATGGCATTCGTCTGTGCTACGTCTTGCTTTGTCACACTATTTTATAGACAGTCAGTTGTGGATGAACTGTCTACGATGCAAACCATGTGTCTTTTTCAGGAGAATCCGTATGTGATGCTGCGGAAGAACCACCAAGAGCTGGAGGGAAATGACCGCTACGAAGGCTTCTGTGTGGACATGCTGAAGGAGCTGGCAGATATTCTCAAGTTCAAGTATCGCATACGGCTGGTGGGGGACGGACTGTACGGGGTTCCTGGAGCCAATGGAACATGGACCGGCATGGTTGGGGAGCTCATATCAAGGGTATGAAATAAATAAATACACATGCACAGCCTGTAAACAAGCCCTACAACCATAAATCATGATTTGTATCACGTCATATACTGTACACATGTAAGCACACCAGTGTCCAAAGTACTTGCTTAAGGCATTCACATACACAAACAGAAGAAAGTATCGTTCAGCTTTCATATAGTTCACAGCTTGCAGCTTTCCTTTATGTCATACATTTTTCATTCAGCAGTTTTTTCATCTAAAGCATTGTATTTTCCAAAACAGGCACAGCTTGTTGGTGGCTTGTTCCCTGTCAGCTCCTTTTCCTAAGCCTTCTGACCTTAACAGACTTTCCTCCTGAATCGCTCTGTGTTGTTGCTGTTAAATCTCTTGAGTGAAGTGTTTCACTCCTCCAGCTACACTGTATGTGGTTAAACAGGCAGATAAGGTTATATCATGCCCAGTTCACACACTACATGACTTCAGCACCGATTTTCTACTCGCAGACAGTTTGGAGCTCCCCAACAATAACCCTCAGAGGCAGGATTTGACTTGAAAAAAAAACACCCTGGCATGGGCCGGTCAGACAAAATAATAACTCATGTGTTGGCCCAAAAGGCACATTTGCCCATCCGGAAATTGGCCGGTATGCCTGATGGCCAGTCCACCTCTGGTCAGAGGCAAATCATTGTTGGTTTGGCATTCACAAATTAGCACTGGAGCACTATGTGTGAACTGTTTAAAGACATGAGCCAAAGCATCCCAGACCATCCATTATCTTTAACATGCTTATCCTGTTCCGGGGTCGCGGTGGGGCTGAATCCGATCGCAGCTGACATTTGTCAAAGGCAGACTACACCCTGGACAGGTCGCCAGACTATCGCAGGGCTGACACATGAAGACAGACAACCATTCACCCTCACATTCACACCTACGGGCAACTTAGAGTCATGAATTAACCTCTTTGGACTGTGGGAGGAAGCCGGAGACCCTGGAGAGAACCCAAGCTGGCAAGGGGAGAACATGCAAACGCCACACAAAAGGGCCAACCCAGGATCGCACCCCGACGCCTCCTACTGCGAGGCGACAGTGCTCGCCACCACACCACCATGCAGCCGCATCTTAGATATGTAGCATGCTAAATATCTGGACCGGTCAGGGAGTCTGTCAGGGGGCTACAACCAATGAGAGCACAAGACACTCGCTGAAAAAGCAGATGTTGGAGGGATTGTCTGTAACAAAGGAACTTTACTGTATGTGTAGCATTTACAACGGAGACCAAAGTTGTTGCACTTAGAGAAACAAATAGTAAAGATGTGTGGAAACAGGCTAATTTGTGCCGACAGCAAGAGTAACAATCATGACTGCAAGGAAGGTTCAGGCCGATTGCTTGAATAAAAAGTCCTGTCTCACGCATGGTATTACATATTTTTTCCGCGTCACTTCTCGCATGTGTTTCTGTGACAAAACAGTCTCATCTGGGATTCGTCTTGGTGAAAGATCTGGTAGTGTGCGACCCCCTGTCGTCGGGTAGTCATGTAGTGTGAAAACCAGAAGGACTTCGAGACTCACGATTACAAGACAGCAAGTTATGTAGTGTTAACAGTACAGCGATCTGACAACTTTGAAAGTCGTGTAGTGTCAACTTGGCTTAAGGGAGCTGAGGGGAGAAGGGGGGGGAGGGGGCGAGGGAGTGAAACAGCATGAAAAATAGTTAGGAGGAAGGCTGGGGTGAGGAAGAGGAAAACAGGAATGTAGAAAGGGATTGAGCCACTCCTAAGAGGTGATCTGTCTTAATACTGTGGGCTAATGGAGGGCAAAGCCATTAAGTATGTAAAGCAAGGAGTTCCTGCTCTTGTTATTGTCACAGCCTGCCACCGCCTTCATCCCCTGTAACTTGCCTGCAGAAGGCTGACCTTCAGAAGTGCCATGGTTAAAGTCAAGGCAGGGGGCGGACAAAAAGTCGAGACGCACTTGAGAGACATTTGTCACAGGATGGGGGACATCTGGAGGAGGGATGCTCCACAGTGGACAGAAAGGATTGAGCTTGTGTGGATAAAGGCTTAGAAATGGATGGGGAAGATGGCAGAGTAAAAAAGATTGTGACCAAAAACAAAGGAACAGCCACGGTTACAAGTTTAATTGATAAGCTGAAAGGATATGAAATATATACTCCGTAGCAGCAAAGGAGGACAGCCTTAGGTTATTCCGGACAACAGATACCTGTGTCCCTGCCAGTACCATTTACACTGAACAATATTTCACTGTTTGAGGGTGATTAGTTTGACGGGTGTCAGGCTGCCTGAGCTAACAATGAGACCAGACATGCCAGGAGGAATCCTGACTGTACTTAGGCCAAAGTCTAAGTACAGTACGTCCTGGTTCCTTAATCCACTGTGCTGCAGTTAGAGAACAGAGGCATCTCCAAAGACTGAACTCTTAAAGTCAAATGCTACATCCTAGAGGGTAATGTTTAATTCATCTTTCACATTTGCAAGTTTTATTTTGTCTTTTTTTTTTACCGGGTTACCCTGAAATGATTGAATGCGAGTTGAAACGGGTATGATGCAATATTGAACAGCCAACATTGCAGTGTGTGTGTTTTTTTTCAGTTTCTCTAGAAGGCATAACAGCAGGCAGGCAAAGGAATCCAGTAATCAATATTAATATTCTATCGTCACATAAATATTTCAGAGGCTGTTACGACCGTGTGTTCGTTTTTCAAAGGATCGTGACTTCCTTTGTTGGAATTGCCTCAATGGTCGTTCCCTGCGTGTGACTTCCTCCCGGCACTGGGAGCAGGCGATCAGATTTTCAAACGGCGGAGAGAGAAAAAAGACGAGGCGCAGGCTGGGGACAGCTGATGATGGAAGGTCAAAGCCTGCGGGCTGAGGCGAGGGCAGCATGGAGACAGTAGGCTGCAGTGTGGAGTGTATAGGCTGGGGCGAGGTTAAAGAGGTGGACATTTTGAAGTGTCACACACTAATTGGAGCACAGACAGAGCAGGGCTTTTCAGGTGAAGCTCTAAATGTCTCCTGGTAGCATTTCAAACCTGCTCTAAAGGTTAAAATAATTATGGAAAAAAACATCCATTTTTACATCACACCAAAATGGACGTTGTAGCAAAAACACTCTTTCATGCATGCCAGATGCCCCTCTCCCTGTGTCTCTTTCCTGGAGATACAAACAGTGTTTTGTGGATTTTGAGTGGCGTCTGCAGTGCTGCAGCACAACTCCCCTCGCCTTACTCTCATCCTCCCATTCCTCTCTGTCTCCCCAATCCTCTTAGTTCTCCTGCAGCAGACAAAGAGCAATGCGTTGCTGCTTTCACTCTTTGCTCCTCAGGGGGATGAAAAATCCCCTGCAGTTGCACTTTGCTGGCCTGTATTATTAGCAGGGAGCTGTCCAGTATTCAGCGTACATTGACCATTTCTATGTGGGCGCGTGTGTGTTTTTGTGTTTGTGTGTTTCTAAGTGTGTCTCTTACCAGCCGCTGCTTTGTCAAGTGATTTGTCTTGACAGTGTTCCCTTGGCCAGCCACAATGGTTACCCTCAGCTCTCTTGTGCCCTACACACACACACGCACACAGACACACACACACACACACACACACATAGTGCCAATGCTGAATTATCCTCACCACAGATCGTGCTATTGGCGGACAAATAGGCTATGGGATACAAAAGGGCATTATTAGGGAATTAGCATCTAGTAGCCCACTTCTTATATCTTCCTTTCAAGCTCTTAAATTACATCATAAATGCATGTCACGTCCTCACGGCTATGTTCAGTATGGCTTTGACTGTGTGTTCATCTGATTTGATTGTACTCGCCCCCCGTGTTTCAGAAAGCTGACCTGGCAGTCGCAGGCCTCACCATCACAGCAGAGCGTGAAAAGGTCATTGACTTCTCCAAGCCCTTCATGACCCTCGGCATCAGCATCATGTACCGTGTCCACCTGGTGAGTTACCGGCCCTCCAAACACACACACGCACACACTCTAACCGATCGAGCCAGCTCTCATACTGCTTGCGGACGTACCACAGCAGGCTGTCAGCTTTGTCTAATGGCTGGGAAAGAACCACTCTCTCTTTTGGACTGTAGAGTCTATCTCTCTTAATCGGTCCAAATCCTTCCACAAACTCACTTCTTTTGCGCCTTATCACCTCTTTTACCTCTTCCATTTCCCCTACATCTGTGTGTTTTCAAGGCCATACTCTCCTCTTCCTTATGTCCTCCTCTCCTCCAACCCTTAGTCTCGCTTTCTTGCTTCTTCTTTATCTTCCCAACATCATTTCCCTTCTTTCCCTGCAGTCTCAACTTTTAATAGTCCTCCTCTGTGTTTGCTCATGTCCTCTTTCTGTTGCTGTGGCCCCCCCATCCTTGCCGCACCAGTTGGCTTCCTGATGAATGTACCAGTTTCACAATTGTTTTCTGCTTGCCCTCTGCATGGGTTTGGTCATCCTATTCACATAAGCAACGCCCTCCATGCTCTGCAGAGAGCAAGCCCAAGCAAGAAACATTGAAATAACAGCAGTGCAGGTGGAAATGAGCCAATGTTTGCAGAGTCACTGGCCCATTAATCATTAGTCCTCCCCCAAAACCCAAGGTGACACAGCGGAGCCCATGGCACTGGCCACTGTCCGCACTTAGGTGATCTGGCACGTGCATAGTTTCCAGAGGGCTATTTACTCATATTCCCTCTGGCTCCTGTCTCCCCTTCTAGTAAATCTCCCTTCTTCTCACCTTGCAATAGTCTACACACAGCACTAATTGGTGTAGCAGTGAGGGACTCAATTAAGCGCCAACAGTTGGGGAGAATCAATCAAAGCTCACAGCAGGTACAGTGTTAAACGGGCTGCTGGGTAGCGTATCACCTCTGAAGTGGGCGGCAGGCAGGCGGTCGCAGCATGTCGAGGTAATGTGAAACCGATGTCCCTCGTGCTGAACCACAGAGTCAGAATGTTTAATTAGCACAGACTTGACCCAGTTGACACCAGATTCCTGAGTAGGCTAAGAGGCTAAGAGGTCAATAAGAAGGACAAGAATGAAGCAGTTATTATATAGATAAAGCACCGGTGTACGGAGTTCCTTTAAATTCTGAAAAGTACAAGACAAAAGGGAAAATGAAGACAGGTGTCGCCTTTCTCTGTCCCACCATCATTTTCTCATGCTCTTTTTACTCCCCCATTGCCCCTTGGCGTTTTCTCAGATCTCACTCAGAGCAATCCCTCAGCGTGGCTCTAAAATTCGATATTTGAATTTCTGTGACTGCTCTTGTTTAGTTCTAATCCAATGACTATTGATCTGAGGCACAGTGGTTTCTACAAGGGGGTTTGCTGCTTATTTCAAACTTTAAATGAAAACTTCGTTCTAATCAATAAGAATGGTGAATGCAATAAAATATAGGTGCCGGGTTAAGTATTAATTACCGTCAGACTAGCTGCCATTCAATCACCATCTCTGCTCTTTGTATTGTATGTATGTATTGTACCTCTCTCCCTCTCTCTCACTCTCACTCTTACTCACTCGCTCTCTCTCTCTCAAGCACACTGTGCCTACGCACAGGCTATAGCCCTGACCGAAAGCGTTAAGTTTTGTAGTGTCTGTCTGGCATCGGTCCCATTTTGTGAACACGATATCTCAGGAACGCCTGGAGGGAATTTCTTCAAAATTGGCACTAAGGTTCACTTGGACTCATTGATGAACTGATTGGAATTTGGTCGACAAAGGTCAAGGTCACTGTGTCCTAACAATACACGTTTTTGGCCATAACTCAAGAATTGATATGCCAAATATGACAATTTCACACATATGTCTAAAATAATGAAGTGATAACATTTTGGACAGACATATAGACTGCGACTTGACTGAAACTCCACTGGTTCCTCCACTCAAATCTCATGTCTGGGTTCTCCAGCTGTCTTGCCTGACTATTTTGTTGCTGGTTGTAGTTTTGCAATAGGTACTATAGTCAAGTAGTACTTTGGCATGTGGTTTGAGGCCAAATAAATAGGCAATATAAATAAAAAAGATTTGCTTTCAAACACAAATCAAAGCGCTTACCTTCACCTCAGAAGCCAGTACGATATGTGAATTGGGCCACAGAGTTAATAACCCAGACATAATCTACAGTCAACCCCTTCTCATAAACACCATCCCTCCCATTACATTCATCATCCGTCGAACAAAGAGCCATATGCTGTAATCAAAGACCCCAACACTCCGAGGTAATTTATATCTGTGCCAGTTCCATCATGCAAACATTTCCTTCATTTCAGGGACTGTGCGGCAAAGTAAACTCACTGTGCATACGAGAGAAAGAGAGAGCGGCACTTAGTTAGACATAGCAGCTAATTAGGTGCGAGTGGAAGCCGTGTTAGATTCAGCAGCTGGCCTTGAGGGTACAGCGTAGCATACGGAGCTTTATTGACTCTTTGGCCGCACGCGACCTCAGACAAAATTACACCGTCACAAACACATGTAGCCTTGCGCATATACACACACCCACATATTTTCCCACTCTAATGCACAGTCACAAGCATGAACAAAACACACAGACATAAAGCCAGACAAGAGCCCTGGAGTCAGCAGGATGTTGTTATGAATATGGCCCTGTGACCTCTGCCAATTCAACTGCTCTCTGCAGATTGCACCTGCGGCTATCTCAACAACAGCAACAGCTAATGGCGTCGAGTCTGACACAATTAGAAAGGCACACACTATCAAAGAGCCCAGAAAACAAGACAGAAGGTGGGGAGGCACAGGGAGGGAAAGGAAGAAAGACGAAATAGAATTAGCAAGAAATGGGCAGAAAGAGAAGCAAAAGGGGTGGAGAGAAGACGGAGAGACGAGAGCAAGAGTTGAAATGACAATGGGAAGTCTCCTTCAGTGAGTCAGTATTCGGGCAGCCTCAGGGGGCAACAGTGTGGTATGAATACCAAAAGGCAGGATGACTAGCTGAAATCCTTGACTGGATAACCTCACCAGCTCCTTCAGCCCTGGCATGCCATCCCAAGAGGGGGGGAGGTGCAATGAAGGAGGGAAAATGGGAAGTTGAGACAGAACAAGGGCAGTGCAAGGTAAAAATGAATGAGCTCTTCATATGCATGTTAAGGAAAGAGGGATATACACATTCTATAATAGGCAGCAATTCCTCATTATTCTATTTGTTGACATGTACTCATAAAAACTGGTCATAAAGGATTCGTTGCCCTGTGCACGACGTCTGCGTTCTCACCCGTCCTTTGATTTGCCTTACGCCCTCTTATCTTAACGTGACGATAAACCTTTATAAACTGATTCCCCTGCTTTTGATAAAAATAACTCAAACACGGCAGCAAATGTTTATCTATGAAGAGCCAGAGCAACCTGGCTATAATATCTACTCATATACAAACATTTGACGCTTGTTCTACTCCCTTTATTGCTCATGTTTAATTTTGATATCTTAACTATTAAAGTCAATATTTTTACTTTGTCTGGTCATTATGTCATAGGTCCTAGAGTAACTTCCAGATTATCCATGGTTGCTGTGTTTAGCTGCTGCTGCCTCGGTGCTCTCTACGCACTCGGTTGCCCAAGCACGTACTGTATCTGCCCTGCTGCGGATGACTGACAGCACAGACAGCTGCTGAAAAACTTTGAAATACAAGCACACACAAACACATCAGCTTCTGACAGTCTGTCTTGCGCACAGACTCACCTTCCAAAATGAAGAGAGAGAGCAGACCACCTATATTAGCTCACTGTTTAAACAATAATCCTAGCCCATTTAGATGGATTGGGAGGTATTTGTGGTTTCATAAATTGTTCTCTCCAGTCAATGTATCCCTGTTAACCTATGAATTACTAAATGCACTCAATATTTACGTACATAAGTTATTGATAACTGTGCTAACATCAGTGACACTGAGCCCTCAGCTGTAGAGATGAATCAGTTGTAAGCATCTGTGAAGGACAGATGCACGTCTTGGAGGCTGTCTTGGCCAACCTTAGCGGCCAGTTGGATGACACGGGAGGCTCACCTCGGCCCTTGAGCTCTAAACACTGGCACCTGTGCCTATCCCGATATCCCTCCTTGACTCCTCTATCCTCTATCCTCTATCCTAGTTCCTCGATCACTTGATCTCGAAATCAATGGCGACCCGCCACCTTGAAGGATGTCCCATTTCATTAAATGCGCTGGCAGGAGACAATGATAGAGGTCGGCTTCCAGCGAAGATACACAAGTGCAGCCTTTGCCGAAGTGTTTCTGCTATGCGTTTGTAAATGCTCCACCCCCATGTGGAACACATGACCATTGTAAACTTTGACAACTTGTCACGTGAGTCGTTAGTCACGTGAGTTGCTTGTCACTCACTAGTGACGCGAGTCGAATTGAAGTTAATGTCAACCTTTTTTTTTTCCTACACCTAACTAAGTGGTTTTACTAACTTTCTGGGAAGCAAAAAGATAATTCTGAAAGGACACTATACACGTAAAGTGCGCCATCACGACACGTTGACAGTAATGCTATGGTTACCTAATATATCGATCTCCAACACCAAAGGGGCACTGACTGGTAGTTGACGAGTTGGGAGGGAGAAGGCATTGGATCTACCTACTCCATTGTCGGTTTTGTGTTTATCTTATTTTTCATAAACTATGTTTGTTTTAAGTATAAACTTGCATGGACTCCCTGCTTGTCGCACAGTGTTTCATCATTTCTTTACATAACAGGAAACAGGAGTCAGTCAGCCTGTTCTATGGGCCACCTCCACTTAAACAAGGACTTACATTGGGAAAGAGACGTTTGTAACTCAGTGGATATATTTTTGTTGAGATAAATCAACTTACCAGTACGAACACTTGAACAGCCCTTATTTAAATCATTAGAGCCTAAAAGTTGTAAAATGCACTTTAATTATTTTCTGTCCTCCGATCGTGTGAATGGACTGAGGTTTAGGATACAGAAAACGCTAGTGTGCATGCTCTATGGACCCCATAATAAAGAAGATCCAGGTGATTTAATCCCAATACTCTAAATTCTGACTTCTTTTGCTTCATGCACCACTGAGCAACTTTCATAGGAATAAACGGAGCATCGCCTTGGACGCTGTATGCATTCTCTTTATACGTCCACGGGTTTCATCTCTCAGCCTCATGCACACTTTTTTTTGCATTTTTTTCAGTTATTCAGTGGGTGGAATTAGGCTCAGACCTGGGGGTGGAGTTAGACTTTAAGAACTCGTGTTTGTAAAATGGAAGAAAATATTTCCAGTGAAAATATCCTGACACATTTTAGATACATCCACACATATTTTTAATACATTTTGTGCAGTCCCCAATTTATCTGAATGCCTGAGTGCTCATTAGTGTGTCTCTTGCAGCCTCACCATGGATAATTTCCCTTCCAACTCCTGAAAACGTTGTCTTTAAATGTTAAAGCACACATATTATACCACAAAAGTCAAAATTGTGCAGCAGCACAGTACTTTCTTTTCCTCTTGTCCTTTTTTTGTTATTTCTCTCCTCCTACCTTTCTCTCCGTCTTCATTTCTGATCTGCTCTTCTGCACCTTTACATCTCCTCTAACCGCGTCTCTGAGGGTCTTTTCATTTTAATAATAGCACTTTGGTGGGAGCTTAAGATGTGGACGCGCGGGGCAAGCATTTAACAAAAACGCTGGCTCAGCATGCACCAACCTGGACCAGCAAACAGGAGGACTCATGTCAGCACATACTGCTGTTACCCCAATAATGCAAGTGGCAACAAGAGGCGGCTTCGCAGTCATACTCATTTTACAACAGTACTCTACCTCTGACATGGCCATTGCGTGTTTCACCATTCCACTATTCTATTTTGACACAGCTATCATCATTATCATAAGCATTACACTCTATAGATAGACAGACAGACATTAAGACTGGCAGGCTGATTTGAATCATGCAAAAAAGATTACACTGACTCTCCCTCTCCTCTCCTGCTTCCTGCACCGCTCCTATTTTATTCAGTCGGGCTAATATGCAAGTGATTACAGACGCATTAATGAATTTTCTTCTCTGCGTAAGTCTAAATGGGTGTTCGTTTGTCATAACAATTGCTCAACGAAATACGTTCACACTCTTACAACAAATTTAATTTTGGAGGGCCTCAGAAATGTATTACTACAGTATGTTGGCGTGCGTGATGTCCCCTAGCAGCACCAAATTTTTGCATGAAAGTGATTTAGGCTTGTTCATGTGCTCCACTTTGCTGCCCGTCGACAGACATGTAAGATAACTTCTACTCTCATAACAATACTTGGACAGTTGGCTGTTTGATCACATGTCATAGTCATTAACAGATGGTGCACGTGCATCTTTGTGTAAATGGCTCATATTCCCTAGCTGATGTTTGGTCAGCTAGGCTATAGGCTGAACATGCACATAATAAATATATGCATGCAATAAACAGGCACAATCACCAGCAATTGGTTTCATTTAGAGGACAATGGCTGTTGGTGCTGGAAATGAAACATTAGGAATTAGCCCCTATATTCCCATTGGCCTGCTGGCTGCCAACACTATCTTAGCCACTTTATCTCCTCTTCCACTGGTTACCAATACATACCAATACATACCAGCCCATATAGCTGCTTCAGCACAGCTGTTCAAGCCAAAGCTATTAATATCGTTCCTTTTTTTTTCTCCAAACTGAGACGCCATACGCTCCCAGTCATATATGACGTCAACTATAGGTCACAGAGATAAATTTTGGTTTAATGTAGCTGTTAATGGTTTACTTCATAATTTGACCTTTCTCTCTCTACTGCATGCAACCTTGTGGAGAGTACAAATGATGACTGTTTTGACCTCTAATGGTTCTTTGATGATTTAGTATCGGATGTAATTTCACATAAAAGCATACTTTATACCAATTAATAGGAAACAGTTAGGAAATAGTGAGTTAATTCAGTTTTCTTTTTCAGTGTCAGAATCCAGGAAATAATACCTCTTATCTGTGATGTTGTATAAATATGCAGCCCCGTGCCACTCTGTTGACAATTCATGGGAGACTGAGTTTGTGCTTTCATACAATGTTGATCTGAATGTTTACATGCAAATGAGATTCATATAATTATATTGTTATCAGGTCAGGACAGGAAAATCTAGGCTTATCATATCAAAATGCCTTTATTTACTGTCCCAGTCACCCTTTTCCTCTTTTCCAAACTACACAAGCGGCATTAAATGTTGTTTAAAACGGACCAAATTAAGCCTGGGGCAAAATAGTCAACACTGAAATTCAGCAACATTTTTTTAATGAATCTTTTTACTTACATTTAACCTTTTGTTAAAAAAAAACCCATGTTGGCTTGCCTCGTGTGAATTGAGCGTGGGATCAAAATGGTCACGGTCTGTGCAGGCTTTAATGATTTTAACCATTGTAATGAGTGTTTCTGTGTGTCCGTGTGTTTCAGGGACGTAGGCCAGGCTACTTCTCCTTCCTGGATCCCTTCTCCCCTGGTGTCTGGCTCTTCATGCTTCTGGCCTATTTGGCTGTCAGCTGCGTCCTCTTTCTGGTGGCCAGGTAAAGAGCTAAACAGTAAAAGACCTTCTGTACAGATGACAGAGTGACAGAGACAGACAGAGTGAGAGAGAGAATACAACAAGACAAACAAAGGTGGTAGAGTACAGAGAGTTGAACCACAAAAAGTTTGGGGGTTATACAGAGGAGGAACAGGTGTTTGTTCTCTTGCCTCTAGTCTCTATCTATCTAGTCTATCTTCCACATCCAGGTAAAAAGAGACGTTCTCCCCCCAGTGGTGCGTCTCCAGCGTCATACTGGCCCCTGCTGGTCAGGGAGGGAACTGTTATTAAATTACACTTATGAAGAAACTTTATAAAAAACGCAAATTTATATCTTATGTAACACCTTTTGAAATCAAATTATCAGTCCACAGACAGGTAGATGTATTACATATGATACTGAGTGATTTAATTTGATCATAATATTATGCTTAATATATACTTTTTGTTTTTGCTGAACTTTTGTAAGAAAATGATTTCCCTTACAATCATACTAGACATTCAGTTATCTGTGGCTGTAATTGTAATTGTCACAAAGAGACACTTTCTGATGCAATTCCACTCGAAAATCCCTTTTCTTTGCAAACAACACATTCCTGACAAATCAAGTGCGTATCTACCAAAGTCTTTGTAGTTGAAGAGAAGGAATGATTACAGAGACCAGTGTTCTTTCAGTGTACATATGAACATTTGGGTGCCTTAGTTTTAAGACAGAGACACCACATAGTTGTCAGATAACTTTAGCTTCATGCAGCACCATTTGAACATACCAATTACATTGGTATGTTGGTATTACCTTCACCCCCACTGTTTAAGTAGGCAGCACATGGGGAATGAAAAGCAGGTTCCTTCTCTCCAGAGAGCCAGGGTGACTTTGTGCTCAGTTGACCATTAGAGTTGTTTTGCTCCGTGTCTGTCCATCCCTTTCTTTCTCCATTCCGCCTGCTCCTTATCTCTTGAGTTTTGCTCTCATCTGAATACTTAATCCAACTTTGATTCACACTGTTGTTGGCTGTATTCTTCCTATGACTCTATCTGCTGTCTAAACCCATTGTCTCGTTCTCTCCAGATTGACACCTTATGAGTGGTACAACCCCCACCCGTGTCTTAAGGGTCGCTGTAACCTGCTGATTAACCAGTACTCACTTGGCAACAGTTTCTGGTTCCCCGTTGGAGGCTTCATGCAGCAAGGATCCACCATTGCTCCAAGAGCGCTGTCAACGCGCTGTGTCAGCGGAGTGTGGTCAGTACTGGCGACAGAGACACACAAACATTAGTGCATCTCCATGTTTTCAGCTTTTAAATCCACTAAGGTACACAACCATTCAACTCTGTTATGTATTAATTTTGTACATCTTGAGCCATCATTGAATGCATTTTATCTTTATTGTGACCTTGAAGCTTCATTCCAGATTTCCTGGACATCAGGGTTCAAGATGAGATAGTGATTTCTATGCATACATATGCATACGTGGGGCATCACTTCCTTTCATTCAAACCGAGCATTGTTACCTTCTTCCTTATATACCCACCCATTCATGCATCCAACCCCGTCATCCACTGAAAGCCCTGCAGGGTCTTCATCTCTCAGGTGCACAGATATTTATATCCTCCTGCACTTTCTCCCAGACAATCCATCTTCATACACCAGCCTTTCCATTCGCATACTTTTATCGGTGAATACATGTTCTCGTCCGCTGCCTTTTCTCCATAGGTGGGCCTTCACATTAATCATCATCTCATCCTACACTGCTAACCTGGCTGCCTTCCTAACAGTCCAGAGGATGGAGGTGCCGATAGAGTCAGTAGACGACCTGGCAGATCAGACAGCGATAGAGTACGGCACCATGCACGGAGGATCCACAATGACCTTCTTCCAGGTTAGAGGTTATGCATGTCATTGCATATGATTGCTTGTTACTGCCACACATTTGGCCACAGACTCAAGAGCCTGCAGTGATTAGTGTGCCATCAGTGATGTTATCCTCCTCATTACCCTTCTGTACTTCCTGTCTTCCCGCGCCAACCAATGGTTTTATCTCTTTTCTGTCTGATCCTTGCCACAACTATTCGATATCCTTATCTTCAAGGAGATGGGGCACTGCCCAGGTCCCTATAAAGAGACACACCGTATCCTCATTCATCTTCTCAAGATTTGGCCTCAGAGCAGGGCTGGACTTGGACAAATCTGCCCTGGCATTTTGGCCCAGATCAGCTTACCACAATCGATCACACACCACCCATCTTCTCTTGCCCCTGAATATGTAGGCCATACCAACCGTTCCACTCCCTAAAAACACTAAAGCCATGTAGTACGTAAGGGGAAATCAAGGAAGATCAGAGAGTGAAAACATGATAAATACCTTCAAAAAGTGCTGCTGCAAAACTGTATAGTCCATTCTGATGGACAAGGATATGGAGTAGCCAGCCAGTGGGAAAAATAGCCACCCACTGGGGTCCAGGGGCTACATGCTAATATTTGTCAAACACCGAGAACAACTCTCCGCTCGCTACTCGGCAGGACATAACCTCTCAGCTCAGAGCACGCACACACATTCACATAGAGTATGTAGGGGATTCCTCTATCATCATCACCAGCCCAGTGTCAATTTAGAGAAAAAAAAAATGGGTCGAACTACCTGTTTATGGGCTGGTCACGTCAGCCTAATCGGGAAAGAGCCTGGTCTGTTCAGCCTTGCCTCAGAGAGAGGGAGAAAAAGAATGAGAGACAGGGTAAGTAACAGAGGAAGAGTGTATAACAGGGAGAAGGACAGTGAAGGATGATGTGGAGGGAAGAGATACATTAGCATTGTCTTACTTTGTGCTCCCACGTTCAATGGACCTTGAATAGCTCAAAGAAGACAGGCCAAGAGAAAGTACAGGTGGAGATGTTAAGTGAGGATTGTGTTCTGAACTTTTAGGCTATTCAAAAGATCTGCTAAAGAAAACACATTCACATTTTACTGCAGCAAACCTTTCGGAGAATTTGAATAAATCCATCAGTCAAGAAAATGAAAAAGAATGACGGATGAAAACCAATCTCTACCTCTGCAAAACTGAGAAAGTATGTATCTGCGACTGATAAACTGAATGTGTCTTGTTCTCCTGATTGTGTCCCGCCGCTCCGTAGAACTCTCGCTACCAGACCTACCAGCGTATGTGGAACTTCATGCACTCAAAACAGCCCAGTGTGTTTGTTAAGAGCACGGAGGAGGGCATCGCCCGTGTCCTCAACTCCAACTATGCTTACTTGCTAGAGAGCACCATGAACGAGTACTACCGCCAGAGGAACTGCAACCTGACACAGATCGGAGGGCTGCTGGACACCAAGGGCTACGGCATCGGCATGCCGCTCGGTGAGTGGGGAGCGAGAATCAGATTGGGGGAAAGAAGAATTAGAAGTAACGGAAGAGAAAAGAAGAAGACTTGGAGAAGAAGGGGGGAAAGGAAGTTCAGTGTAACATCAAGGCAGCAGAGGACAGCTGATGTTTTGCTGAGACACACTGAAGTAAAGAAGGGGTAATGAAGAGCGGGGGCATTAGTTGGAGGATACATCATGAACATCACATTGTAGAGTTAAATTGGAAAGCCTCTGCAAAGCTGAACCATTAGCGGTGATGGGAGAAGTGAGGATGAGAGAAAGAGAATTTGAAATATTGTTCCTTTGTATTGTGGAACTGTTGCTGTACAACTCGCTTGCTGCTCAGAGAGTTTATTTACACTTTGATCTCAGTTTGAGTCAATCTCTAGACCGAGGGGGAACACACCTTGAAGTAAACAAGATTCATTTCAATTCCTTAAATCTTCAGAGGGTAGATAAACACATTCTTTAGTGGCTAACATTCTGTACCGCATACTGTGATGTGACCTTTAGAACTCTGCGAAATCCTAGTAAACCCTTTGATCTCTTATTTGAAAGTTTTTGTTGAATCAAAGTCTTCTAATGCAGCGACATCATTTCACATTCACCGCGGCAAATCAGAAGAAAAAGTCAAGAAAATGTAAATTGATTTAACAAAGTGAGTGCGTTTGGACTGCAAAAAAGATTTTTTTGGAAGGTTCAGTTTTTAGTTGGAATACCTAGTCTGGACTTTTTTTGCAGTGTACAGGTTTGAGCTTTGCCCCTCTCTTCCATTCAGGGTCAGTATACCGTGATGAGTTTGACCTGGCCATCCTCAAAATGCAGGAGGACAATCGTTTGGAGATCTTCAAGAGGAAGTGGTGGGATGGTGGCAAGTGTCCAAAGGAAGAGGACCACCGTGCCAAAGGTTTGTTGCCGTTTAATCCTCATCTGCTTGTTCTGCTGCTCCACTTCAGTTTGTCAGACTGTGATTATGGAAGAATATTTCAGTTTCTTTGCCCTCTTTTTCCCTTCATCTCGCACTTCAAATACCGTGTCCTGTTGTTACCAGGTCTGGGCATGGAGAACATCGGCGGTATCTTCGTGGTGCTGGTGTGTGGCCTGCTGGTGGCTATCTTCATGGCAGTGCTGGAGTTTGTCTGGATGTTAAGACAGGCACCAGGAAATGAGGTGAGAGAGGGCTATCTAACCTGCATATGCTTTGTCTCCCTCTCCCCTCCCTGGCACCTCCCCCCTCGGGGAGCTGCTAGGCTTTCCCACAGTGCACAGCTTTGACAGGAAGTGTAGTAGGCGTCTTCGTCTTCCTCTGGGCAAGTCTTCAATTGACACCCAGCCTTCCTCCATCTAGCCTATGTGACATCAGCACAAAACCAAAGATATACCTCATGTACACCTCACTCAGAGTACACGCATACATGGATTGTTTTCTAGCAGTAGAAGAGGCAAACATATATATATATATATTTCATAGAATATCGTACATATTACATATTATTGAATGTAAATCGATCCTATTGGTGGAGAATACATGCTTACCGGGTGCTGCCAATGAGAGTTTACTCATAAAATGAATTCTGCTTGTTTTCTTTTAGCAATAATCCAATCATCTTTTTACATAAAAGATGATTGGCATTGTGTGCACATCTTCCCTCAAAATCCAATTTTCAGACACCAGATTATTCATTCCATCAAAGGCTGAATGTTGGACTGTAATGTACTAGTTGTGGCCATCAGCCAGATGTGGAAAGTAGAAGAGAGGATCTGTTTTTAAATTAAAGATTTCAACTTAACATCGATTTTAAAAAAGCAACTGTGGGTATTTTTCACTGTGAAAAGTCACACAGACATTGCAATGATTATAATCCTAAACATTGTATAAATTAAAAATCAAAATTAAATATATAATCATAACCATTTGAAGGTAGCTTCATCTGGAGTGGGGGCTAAAAAAACATGATGAGGAGTGTGTCCAGTCTTGTCACAGAACTCTGTTTGGAGAGGCATTTTCATCCTGACAAAGGCCAATTTACATTTCCAGACAATTCAGTTGTGGTAGTGAAGGAGCTCTGCCAAGCTATTCTTGAGGCGGTGCTGCTTTTAACTAAGAAATGGTTGAGTAGAGAAAGATGTGCATGCAATGTTATAATTATTTCTGATGTGATTCCTTTAAAAATAACCAATAATTGTCTTTTCAAATGGACTCCACACTGTGATTTAATTCAATAAACATTCAGAATGTGAAAGTCAAAAACTCATGTGATTTCTTCATTTTGAGCAGCATAGATTTATTTCGCTTTAACTTGGAAACCCTGTGTGTATGTATGTGTGTGTGTGTGTGTGTGTGTGTGTGTGTGTGTGTGTGTGTGTGTGTGTGTGTGTGTGTGTGTGTGTGTGTGTGTGTGTGTGTGT